TTATCTGCAATGCCCCAGAGAAAGTATGTAATAGTCCCTAGATGTCTATCGGTCGGGTGTTTTGTTGGATTTTACACTACACCCAGAAACGTGTCGGTTTTAACAATGAAATAGTTATTTTTGAACTTTCATTGCCTTACCAAGAGTTGCTGAATACCTTCTCAGCTACAGTACTCCTAGAGCACAGTGTGTACAGTGACTGGGAAGGCCTTGTCTTGGGCCTTCTGGTGCTGCCGTGCACTCGACCACGTTCCTGGACGTCTTGGTCTGCCAACCAAAGCCCCTCGATTTGCTCGGCCCACCTCCCACCGTGCTATCCCGTGCCAAATAATACACCCCTGGGGGAAACCGGTGGAGATTAAAGACTGAATGACCCCCCAACCCCACCACCAGCCAATAATATTTCCTTTCCGAGTTTTCATACTGGGCAGAATCGAAGTTCAAAGAGAGTCCAGGCCGTCCTTGATAAACAGGCTTGATATAGCGCTACAGTCTTGGCAATGCCGACGTGCTGGGATGCTGGGTGTACACCGAGCGCGAAGGATACTGTTGGAGAGGAATTCAATAAAACAGCAAGGTGGGGTCATGTGGGCCATTGCATTCCAAAGAGTGCAAAACAGAGGCTAGGAATGCATGCAGCCACTGTGACCACTATCAACCATGACCAGTATTTCCTGTTGTTATGGAGCAATAGGGAGTGGGTTTGCAGCGTCTTTCTAGTATTCAAATTCATAAAGCTTTATTGTCCATCCGATTTACATGATGGACCTTTGTCTTTGGCATGTGGCTCATAAAACACAACACATTCCAAAGTTCTCTCTTTGTGGTAGCTGATGTGTATTGGTCCTTTCATCTTGAGAAATTGAGTAAGGCTGAAATAATTAATCTGTTGTTCATCCAGTATTTATTTTCGGACTATATTCTCAGCTCTCTAGTAGATTTATAGCCAAATGTAAGGAGATAACAATTTTTCATATCCACCAGTGACAACTGTCTCCGAAAGCTGGCACTTGCCGAGGCCCCATTTTTCATATCCAAGAGTGTCCACAAGTGCAGTAAATTTGTGGAGGACAGGTCATCTGATGCAGCACTCTATCACTCTCCTTCTTGGTAAAATAGCCCTTACACAGCCTGGAGTTGTGTTGGGTCATTGTCCTGTTGAAAAAAAAATGATAGTCCCACTAAGCCCAAACCAGCGTATCGCTGCAGAATGCTGTGTTAGCCATACTGGTTAAGTGTGCCTTGAATTCTAAATAAATCACAGACAGTGTCACCAGCAAAGCACGCCCACACCATAACACCACCTCCTCCATGCTATATGGTGGGAACTAAACATGCGGAGATCATCCGTTCACCCACACCACGTCTCACAAAGAAATGGCGGTTGGAACCAAAAATCTCAAATTTGGACTCCAGACCAAAGGACAAATTTCCACTGGTCTAATGTGCATTGCTCGTGTTTCTTGGCCCAAGCCGATCTCTTCTTATTATTGGTGTCCTTTAGTAGTGGTTTCTTTGTGTCACGGTTTCGGCCGAGGCTGCTCCTCCTCCTGGCTCGGGCAGGCTTCGGCGTTCGCCGTCCCCGGAATACTAGCTGCCACCGTTGTATGTTTCGTGTGTTGGTTGCTTTGGTCTGTCTGGTACACCTGTGTCTGTTTGTGTCCTAATTACGTGTCCTATAAGTTCCCTGTTTTGTGTTAGTTATATTGTGTGTTGTTGTCCGCGTGTCGTTTGAGCTGCGTGTGTTGCGCTCTACATGTTTTGTTTTACGCATGTTGCGTACTGTTCTCGCCTCTGTATTTTCGAGGTCGTGTATTGATTATTGTTCACTTTACTTTAGTAAAGTTTGTTGGACTAAACCTCTGTGTCCTGCGCCTGACTCCTCATCACATCCACATCGGTGCCAAACTGACACTTTGCAGAAATTCGACTATGAAGACCTGATTCACACAGTCCCCTCTGAACAGTTGATGTTGAGATGTGTCTGTGACTTGAATTTCTGAGGCTGGTAACTCTAATGAAGTTATCCTCTGCAGCAGAGGTAAGTCTGGGTCTTCCATTCCTGTGGTGGTCCTCATGAGAGCCAGTTTCATCATAGCGCTTGATGGTTTTTGCGACTGCACTTTAAGAAACTTTCAAAGTTCTTGAAATTTTCCCGATTGACTGATCTTCATGTCTTAAAGTAATGATGGACTGTCGTTTCTCTTTTCTTATTTGAGCTGTTCTTGCCATAATATGGACTTGGTCTTTTACCAAATAGGGCTATCTTCTGTATACCCACCCTACCTTGTCACAACACAACTGATTGGCTCAAACGCATTAAAAAGGAAAGAAATTCCACAAATTAACTTTTAAGAAGGCACACCTGTTAATTGAAATGCATTCCAGGTGACTATCTCATGAAGCTGGTTGAGAGAATGCCAAGAGTGTGCAAAGCTGTCATCAAGGCAAAGGGTGGCTATTTGAAGAATCTCAAATATAAAATATATTTTGATTTGTTTAACACTTTTTTGGTTACTACATGATTCCATATGTGTTATTTCATATTGTTGATGTCTTCACTATTATTCTACAATGTAAAAATAGTGTGTCCAAACTTTTGACTGGTAGTGTATGTATATATATATGTGTCATTTTTATCACTGAGTTTGAATCGGTGTTTGGTATACATCCAGTGATAGCTACAGTTGAAGTCGGAAGTTTACATACACCTTAGCCAAATACATTTAATCTCAGTTTTTCACAATTCCTGACATTTAATCCTAGTAAAAATTCACCGTCTTAGGTCAGTTAGGATCGCCACTTTATTTTAAGAATGTGAAATGTCAGAATAGTAGTAGAGAGAATGATTTATTTCAGCTTTTATTTCTTTCATCACATTCCCAGTGGGTCAGAAGTTTACATACACTCAATTAGTATTTGGTAGCATTGCCTTTAAATTGTTTAACGTAGGTCAAACGTTTCGGGTAGCCTTCCACAAGCTTCCCACAATAAATTTGGTGAATTTTGACCCATTCCTCCTGACAGAGCTGGTGTAACTGAGTCAGGTTTGTAGGCCTCCTTGCTCGCACACGCCTTTTCAGTTATGCCCACTAATTCTTTATAGGATTGAGGTCAGGGCTTTGTGATGGCCACTCCAATACCTTGACTTTGTTGTCCTTAAGCCATTTTGCCACAACTTTGGAAGTATGCTTGACATTTGGAAGACCCATTTGCGACCAAGCTTTATCTTCCTGACGGATGTCTTGAGATGTTGCTTAAATTATGTGGATATATTGTCCTTCCTCATGATGCCATCTATTTTGTGAAGTGCACCAGTCCCTCCTGCAGCAAAGCAGCCCCACAGCATGATGCTGCCACCCCCGTGTTTCACGGTTGGGAAGGTGTTCTTCGGCTTGCAAGCACCCCCTTTTTCCTCCAAACATAACGATGGTCATTATGGCCAAACAGTTCTATTTTTGTTTCATCAGACCAGAGGACATTTCTCCAAAAAGTATGATCTTTGTCCCCATGTGCAGTTGCAAGCCGTAGTCTGGCTTTTTTATGGCGGTTTTGGAGCAGTGGCTTCTTCCTTGCTGAGTGGCCTTTCAGGTTATGTCGATATAGGACTCGTTTTACTGTGGATATAGATATGTTTGTACATGTTTCCTCCAGCATCTTCACAAGGTCCTTTGTTGTTGTTCTGGGATTGATTAGCACTTTTTACACCAAATGTACGTTCATCTGTAGGAGACAGAACGCATCTCCTTCCTGAGCGGTATGACGGCTGCGTGGTCCCATGGTTTTTATACTTGCATACTATTGTTTGTACAGATGAACGTGGTACCTTAAGGACAACAAAGTTTGATTTATTACATTAAATCATTCAGTAAGGACTTAAAACAATTATGGCACTCTCCCGAGTGGTGCTGTGGTCTAAGGCACTGCATCACAGTGCTAGCTGTGCCACTAGAGATCCTGGTTTGAATCCAGGCTCTGTCGTAGCCGGCCGTGACCGGGAGACCCATGGGGTGGCGCACAATTGGCCCAGCGTCGTCCAGGGTAGGGGAGGGAATGGCCGGCAGGGATGTAGCTCAGTTGGTAGAGCATGGCGTTTGCAACGCCAGGGTTGTGGGTTCGATTCCCACGTGGGGCCAGTATGAAAAAAAATAAAAAAATAATGTATGCACTCACTAACTGTAAGTCGCTCTGGATAAGAGCGTCTGCTAAATGATTAAAATGTAAATGTCATCTGTTTTTGTTGCCAGTATAAACTGCTAACAGCGGAGAACTGCTAGATAACTTTCAAGCACGTCAATAACTAAATAATTCGTCAATTTTTATTTTTTATTTGCGCCAACAAAGAAAAAGGGAATTAAGATTGTAAAAGTAACTACTTGCTTATTTGGAAAAGTAACTAAGTAACTGATTACCTACATTGAAAAACTAACGGGTTAAGTTACTCGTTATCACAAAAAAGTAATCTGAGTACTCCCATCAATGGTCACTTCCTGTTCATGAATACCCTATTTTCTTTTGAGTGGGATAGCTGAAAGATGTAGCACAGAGAGGCGTGGGTACAGCTCATCTAGGAGAATTGCTGATATGATGCGAGCGGCCGCATTGTCGCCAAAAGGTGAGAGACGCATCGTGTCATCTCGCTCACATCGGTGAAGCAGATTTCATTTGTCAGCTCGGGCAGTGTAACCTTGAGGTGTGTTATAGAACTGTAGCTTTCATGTAGCTTAGACTGACATAGGATGTGAGTGGTGATGGAAGACTACATAGAAGAGAACACAGGTGCAATGTCATGTGGCAATGGATCCTTCACTGTAGATCAAGCGGAGACACTCACTGCTGAACAGTTATTCAAGCAGTTTCTCTGTGAATTTGTTAAAGCAATTTGTGTCACTATCAGTCACAAGGAAAGGGAAGAAAGAGTGTCTATGCTGATGTTATTCAGCAGGAAAAACAGCAATGCAAGCATAAAATCACTCAAGAAAAACTGAAATGACACCATTATGCTTTACATTATTTAATTTAGCTCAAAAAACAAATAATACCGATAATCAAATGTCATCAGGCAGATATCATTTCACTTATACACATCAATGTATGTATAGCTCCTATACTATATTTAGTAACTCTAGCTAGCGTACACTAGCTGGTTGACTTATTTCAAGTGCAGTTTGAAGATGGGCAGAACACCTTGGGCATGGGCCAATCAGTTAATCAGAGAAACGTGTGTTTTCCCCACAAAAGAAGTAGCTAACTTGCCCTAAGCGGGAAACCAAAATGCCTCCTTCCCTCACTCTGACCCTATTCTGACCCTAACCCACCGCAATACCTTGTGGGTAGCAAACCAGGCAGCGTCTCGGGAAGACACAGCAACTGCCAGAGTTTCAAAGGTCATCGGACTCTGGGATAAACGTGGGATCCAGGTGCACTGTGGGAAGGATGAGGGGGGCGCTGGCCCCCGCCCAGCCGCAGGCCACCCTGTTGAATGTGGGCCTCTGCACTGCAGGCTCCGCCTGGAGCTCGGGGTACAGCTCCGGCATGGAGTTGTGTTCCACCTCGGGGGCCTTGAACAATGGGGCCGGTCTGGTGGACTTGCCTCCGAAGCCTCCGAACGGAGTAGCCACCCTGGAGATAGGTAGAGGATTGACAATGTTAATATTAGCCTTGCACCACTAACAATGCAGAGGGAAGTGATAGATTGACTCATCTCATCAAAGGTATGAGCCACTGGCTGGAGGACATGTTCTGTTGAAATGATAATGCATGGTGTATCTGTTGACTATGTTGTGACTCAGATAAAGGAAAGTATGTCAGTGGACTCCCTTAATCTACTACCAATGTGTAAAATCAAGGTGAAATGTTAGTATATTTCTACATAGAAGACATCGAATATGTTATGCTCATTACAAAATCACATGTTGACATATGTTGTCCGAAGTTGGGAGTGTTACCGCTGCGCCAGACTCCGGCACGGCAAGTACTATTTCAACCAAAGTGTGGTCCAGGTCCATCAGCAGCTATACCTGTTGAAGCTCTTGTACCCTGGTCCTTCTGGCTTGGCCTCGGGCTCTGGCAGGCGAGTGACGAGGCTATCGGCCAGGGAGGGGTCGTGGTGGTAGATGGCCTGGTCCCAGGGGGAGTGGTAGGACTTCGGGAGGCATGTTCTGTTGAACTTCTCTGGTTCCATTTCTTGCAGAGGTCCACCATAACCTGGGCGAAAGAGAGGGAGAGAGAATCTGGTGTAAGGGCCCTGGTATTCCACATTACCTTTCTTTGGTACAGTTTGTGGTTCAAGAAGTGGAGATAGAGTGAAAAATAGGTGGGGATGGAAGGAGCGAAAGACTGAGAGAGAGAAATAGTGAGAAACTGCATAACAGCGAGATGGTGTAGTAGACTATGAGAAAGGATTTACAATGACCTTTGAGGCATCCATCAGGCCATCAGGTCATATACTACCAACCTGATTTTTCCCAACACAAAGATCAATATAAACCCTGTGCAGCACCACATTGGTCCTCCCTGTGTGCCTCCAGGGAAAAATATGGTCAAGTTTCAGAGTTAACCAACACAAAGGACTTCTCACTGTGTGGTGTAAGGGTGACAGGGAAGGCCTATCCAAAGAACTATCCTTCAAAACGAGTGTGCTTCGCCGGGGGTGGCTTACATAACATGGGGTGTTGCGCTGACATGTCCAACCCTCTTATAACAAACAATCCCTCTTCCTGAATTGATGGTTGCTTGAGGAGGAAATGGGAAAGACCAAACATTGGCCCCTCAGGGGAGTTCTGCTGTTTTTTGAGGAGCTTCCTTCACAAACGCACACCACGAGATTTACACCGGCCACGTACAGGGCTCACGTGCATGGTTGCGATTTTGGCTGCTCCAATGTGTTGTGAGAAATGTACAGTGACTGCCGCACTGCAGGAAACACTGGGGCTTGGGGAGATAAGAGGGGAATTTGTGTATAAGTGACATGGTTGCCCGAGAGCTTGGTTAGATATAGAGAAGGGCAATTCCACAGTAACGGAATTACGCTTTGAAATACAGTCAGGTCCATAAATATTTGGACATTGACCAAGTTGCAATTATTTTAGCTGTCTACCACAGCATATTGGAGTTAAAATTAAATAATAGTGCAGTCTTTCAGCTTGAATTTGAGGGTATTTACATCCAAATCGGGTGAATGGTGTAGGAATTACAGCACTTTTTATATGTGGTCCCCCCCTTTTATAAGGGACCAAAAGTAATTGGACAATTGGCTGCTCAGCTTTTCCATGGCCAGGTGTATGTTATTCCCTCATTAGTTCATTTACAAGTAAGCAGAGAAAAGGTCTAGAGTTGATTTAAAGTGTGGCATTTGCATTTGGAATCTGTTGCTGTTAACCCTCAATATGAAGTCCAAAGAGCTGTCACTGCCAGTGAAGCAAGCCATCATTAGGCTGAAAAATCTAAACAAACCCATCAGAGAGATAGCATAAACATTAGGTGTGGCCAAATCAACTATTTGAGCTCAGGAACACCAAAAGGCCCGGAAGACCACGGAAAACGACTGTGGTGGATGAATTCTTGGTCAAATCAGTTGGCCAAATCAAGAACACCCTCCAGGAGGTAGGCATATCTGTGTCAAATTCAACAATCAAGAGAAGACTTCACCAGAGTAAATACAGAGGGTTTACCACAAGATGTAAGCCTCAAAAACAGGAAAAACAGAGTTTGCCAAAAAAAAACATTTTTAAAAGCCTGTACAGTTCTTGAACAACATCCTATGGACAGATGAGACAAAGATCAACTTGTACCAGAATGATGGGAAGAGAAGGGAAGGAACTGCTCATGGTCCTAAGCATACCACCTCATCTGTGAAGCATGGTGGAGGTAGTGTTATGGCGTGGGCATGTATGGCTGCCAGTGGAACTGGTTCCCTTGTATTTATTGATGATGTGACTGCTGACAAAAGCAGCAGGATGAATTCTGAAGTGTTTAGGGATATATTATCTGCTCAGATTCAGCTAAATGCTTCAAAACTCATTGGACGGCGCTTCACAGTGCAGATGGACAATGACCCGAAGCATACTGTGAAAGCAACCCAATACTTTTTTAAGGCAAAGAAGTGGAATGTTCTGCAATGTCCTAGTCAATCACCTTAACTGAATCCAATTGAGCATGCATTTCACTTGCTGAAAGCAAAACTGAAGGCAAAACGTCCCAAGAACAAGCAGGAACTGAAGACAGCTGCAGTAAAGGCCTGGCAAAGCATCACCAGGGAAGAAACCCAGCATCTGGTGATGTCTATGGGTTCCAGACTTCAGGCAGTCATTTACTGCAAATGATTTGCAACTAAGTATTAAAACTTACAATTTAATGAATGATTGTTAGTTTGTCCAATTACTTTTGAGCCCCTAAAATTGGGGGGCTATGTATAAAAATGGTTGCAATTCCTATGTAATTTTGACAAAACCCTTAAATTAAAGATGAAAGTCTCACTTAAAGCACATCTTGATTGTTTCCTTTCAAATCCATTGTGGTGGCGTACAGAGCCAAAATGATGCAAATTGTGTCACTGTCTAAATACTTATGGACCTGACTGTATATGCCAAACAGGAACAATTGATTTCAAAGTTTAACAAACCATACAACTCCATGCACAAGGACTACTTTAAAAAAAAATTCCACTGAACATTTTACAAAAACTAATTTAGTGGAAGATGCGAACTTTGGTCATGGAATTACGGTAATATCTCCCTCATGTTTTTATGCAACCACGTTTTCCAAAAACTCCAATCCTTTCTGACCCCATTTCCCGGCTCCTGTAATTGCTGTATCCACTGACTTCTCCTCCGACTCCCCCTCAAGGTGGTGGCGTAGTCGTAAGTTCCCGAAATAGCAACGCATACTGTCTCCATGTGCTCATCGGCTAAACTGGTGTCCATATTATATGGACTGTGCTGGATCGGGAGGGCGAGCATGATCTGAGAACCAGTCTCTTCCTGATGGTATCAGGGGACAGCGAGCAGTGGACACAGGAAAAACTCTATGCCTTTCCTGTGGGGAATCTGGACTGTTATCAAACTATGCCCATGGCCGGCAGTAAAAAGAGAGAGGGAGAATGAGGGATAGATACAGAAAGTTAGGGGGGGCAGAGCGTGTGGGGGAGAGATCCACTGAAAGAGGGAGAGGAAGACCGAGGAGGAGAAGGAGAAGGAGAAAGACGTCTCCTGCCCTAGAGCCAGAAGATTGCACCCAAGGATAAAACATTTCATTGAGTTGTTATATCCAGCTGGACCATACATACACTGTATACAGCAGCACCATGTGTGAATAAAGGAGAAAATATTCCTAGTAACAAAAGTCCTACCTAGCCTATCAGAGGGCAAGGTGGAGCTATGACCATATTATTTAATACAAGTAAAATCCTGTCCAGGCAGTAAGGGGCTAGGGTTAGTTTCTTGACTGGACATAGTCAAAATTAGGCTTGCTAAGACTTATCAGGCCAGGCCAGGCTGCGTTACTTTTAATTTGGCCCAAGGCTTTTTGTTCTGTGCCCGATTCAGGTGCTACAACACAAGTCTTCAACTGACCAAGGCTGACTCCAATGTCACTGGCCCACTATTATAAATCATGCTAATGACTCCACTGAAATCCAGGCTACTGAGTCATAAGGGGTCATGGGGTCATGAGTTTTGAGCAGAGGTTATGTCACAGTAGCAGCACCCACCTGGTGCAATGTTGTCTGGGTTAGGGGCGGTGCTCGGGTCAGGCATGTTCGGGGGCATTTTAGACGACTGCTCCACTCTTAAGCTGTTTTCTTTCGTTTCTTGACTCTCCGTTTGAAGATTTACACCATTCTAAGGGGAGAGGGAGAAATACAGAAATAGAGCAGAGGTCAAAGAGATGGAGAGAAAGAGTGAGGGAGAGAAAGAGGAGAGGTCAGTAAGTGTCTTATGTAGAGCCAGTAATATAAAGACCATTGTTTTCTCATGGTTGAATATCCTGTGCTGTGGTCCACAGTGGGTAACTTTCATCCTCCCAGTGATATTTGGAATGATTTACGCCAGGACTTCCTCAGGAAATGTTGAGAACTTGAAATAACAGTTCCCCTTTGCTCCAAATGGTAAACAAACTGGGGAGAGATATTCTTTAAAAAATAATTTCATCATATTCAGTGTAAATATATTCCAAACAACCTGTTAAACTCTGACACCCTCTGGTGGCATTTTCTAAGCAACACATAAATTGTAACCGACTTTCATTAGATACATTTAAAAACTATTTTTAAAAATCAAAATGTCCTACAAACACATGCTTAGTACTGTTAGAAACGTAAGAACCGTGGGATTCTGATACAGGTGTATAGTACAATGCTGAAGTTGGAGTGAGTAGTCATGCTGTACTTCGCTCCGCAGGTAATATGACACACATTACATTACAATGGAACGATTTGATTAGTGTAATGTTAGCTAGCTACATAGTTGTCTTTGTATCAAAGATAAAGATGTAGTATAGAGAAACTATCGAGGTTAGCTAGCCAGCTACATTTGTTCACAGCGACTTTTCAAACAAAGTCAACACCGCAGCCATTGCTCTCTAGCCAACACTACCAGCTAGCAGTACTGTAGCAACTAAATAGAATATCATTTTAGCCAGCTGCATTCGTTCACAAAGACGCAGTTTTTCAAACAAAGTCAACACCGCAGTCATTGCTAGCTAGCCAACACTACCAGCTAGCAGTACTGGAGCAACTAAATACAATATCATTTTAGTCAATGAGAATTTTGCAACGTAAAGCTTCACTTTCTGAACATTCGAGATGTGTAGTCCACTTGTGTAGCTAGCATGACTGACTTTGTGCGAGCTAGCCAACATTTAATTATTTCTGCGTTATGAAAGGAACTAGACACGGACACGAATGATCTGTTTAGTGTGTAAACACACTATTGGTAGTTTGTTATAACCAATTATTGGTGATAAACCGTGTGTTATTGGATGCTAGCATGCTAGTTAGCTATGGCGTCATAGGATACGGTGCCCTGGGCGGTTTTCACGGGAAGAATACTGTACCAAGTTAGCGAGCTGAATAAACTAAGTTAGAGTCTATTCCTAGAAAACATTGAACCGCTGTAGTTTACAACAATTATAATTTATAAAGTGGAGGTTGGGTGAGTTATATTTGAGTGTTTCAGTGAAAGGTAAGTGAGGGAGGCCCCGCTCTCTCGCTTCCCCAGATGTTTAGTTAATTTTATTCCAATCTCTTTTGCATTATTGTAGCCTTTTCTGTAGCCTGTCAACTATGTGTCTGTCTATCCCTGTTCTCTCCTCTCTGCACAGGCCATACAAACGCTTCACACCGCATGGCTGCTGCCACTCTAATCTGGTGGTCCCTGTGCACACGACCCACGTGGAGTTCCAGGTCTCCGGCAGCCTTTGGAACTGCCGTTCTGCGGCCAACAAGGCAGAGTTCAACTCAGCCTATGCTACCCTCCAGTCCCTCGACTTCTTGGCACTGACGGAAACATGGATTACCACAGAAAACACTGCTACTCCTACTGCTCTTTCCTCGTCTGATCATCTATTCTCGCATACCCCGAGAGCATCTGGTCAGCGCGGCGTTGGCACAGGAATCCTCATCTCTCTCAAGTGGACATTCTCTCTTTTCCCCCTGACCCATCTGTCTATCTCCTCATTTGAATTCCATGCTGTCACAGTCACTAGCCCATTCAAGCTTAACATCCTTATCATGTATTGCCCTCCAGGTTCCCTTGGAGAGTTCATCAATGAGCTTGACGCCTTGATAAGTTCCTTTCCTGAGGATGGCTCACCCCTCACAGTTCTGGGTGACTTTAACCTCCCTACGTCTGCCTTTGACTCATTTCTATCTGCCTCCTTCTTTCCACTCCTTTCCTCTTTTGACCTCACCCTCTCACCATCCCCCCCCTACTCACAAGGCAGGCAAAACGCTTGACCTCATCTTTACTAGATGCTGTTCTTCTACTAATCTCACTGCAACTCCCCTCCAAGTCTCCGACCACTACTTTGTATCCTTTTCTCTCTCGCTCTCTTCCAACACTACTCACTCTGCCCCTACTCAGATGGTAATGTGCCATCGCAACCTTCACTCTCTCTCTCCCGCTACTCTCTCCTCTTCCATCCTATCATCTCTTCCCTCTGCTAAATCCTTCTCCCTCCGATCTCCTGATTCTGCCTCCTCAACCCTCCTCTCCTCTCTTTCTGCATCTTTTGACTCTCTATGTCCCCTATCCTCCCGGCCTGCTCGGTCCTCCCCTCCTGCTCTGTGGCTTGACGACTCATTGCGAGCTCACAGAACAGGGTTCCGGGCAGCCGAGCGGAAATGGAGGAAAACTAGACTCCCTGTGGACCTGTCATCTTTTCACTCCCTCCTCTCTACATTTTCTTCCTCTGTTTCTGCTACTAAAGCCACTTTCTACCACTCTAAATTTCAAGCTCTTTGCCACCTTCTCCTCCCTGCTGAATCCTCCCCATCCCTCCTCCCCCTCCCTCCTCCCTTTCTGTGGATGACTTCGTCAACCATTTTGAAAAGAAGGTTGACAACATCCAATCCTCATTTATTAAGTCAAATGACACCGCTGGTCCTGCTCACACTGCCCTACCCTATGCTTTGACTTCTGTCTCCCCTCTCTCTCCAGATGAAATCTTGCGACTTGTGACGGCCGGCCGCCCAACAACCTGCCTGCTTGACCCTATCCCCTCCTCTCTTCTCCAGACCATTTCCGAGGAGACCTTCTCCCTTACCTGACTCCTGAGTGGCGCAGTGGTCTAAGGCACTGCATCACAGTGCTAACTGTGCCACTAGAGATCCTGGTTCGAATCCAGGCTCTGTCGCAGCCGGCCGCGACCGGGAGACTCATGGACGGCGCACAATTGGCCCAGCGTCGTCCAGGGTAGGGGAGGGAATGGCCGGCAGGGATGTAGCTCAGTTGATAGAGCATGGCGTTTGCAACGCCAGGGTTGTGGGTTTGATTCCCACGGGGGGCCAGTATAAAAAAAAATATGTATTCACTAACTGTAAGTCGCTCTGGATAAGAGCGTCTGCTAAATGACTAAAATGTAAAATGTTACCTCACCTCGCTCATCAACTCATCCTTGACCGTTGGCTATGTCCCTTCCGTCTTCAAGAGAGCGAGAGTTGCACCCCTCCTCAAAAAACCTACACTCGATCCCTCCGATGTCAACAACTACAGACCAGTATCCCTTTTTTATTTTCTCTCCAAAACTCTTGAGCGTGCCATCTCTAGCCAACTCTCCTGATATCTCTCTCAGAATGACCTTTTTGATCCAAACCAGTCAGGTTTCAAGACTGGTATTTCAACTGAGACTGCTCTTCTCTGTGTCACGGAGGCTCCCCGCACTGCTAAAGCTAACTCTCTCTCCTCTGCTCTTATTCTTCTAGACCTATCTGCTGCCTTTGATACTGTGAACCATCAGATCCTCCTCTCCACCCTCTCCGAGTTGGGCATCTCCGGCGCTGCTCACTCTTGGATTGCGTCCTACCTGACAGGTCACTCCTACCAAGTGGCGTGGCGAGAATCTGTCTCCGCACCACATGCTCTCACCACTGGTGTCCCCCAGGGCTCAGTTCTAGGCCCTCTCATATTCTCTCTATACACCAAGTCACTTGGCTCTGTCATATCCTCACATGGTCTCTCCTATCATTGCTACACAGACGACACACAATTAATTTTCTCCTTTCCCCCTTCTGATAACCAGGTGGCGAATCACATCTCTGCATGTCTGGCGGACATATCAGTGTGGATGTCGGATCACCACCTCAAGCTGAACCTTCCCGGGGAAGGACTGTCCGCTCCATGATCTCGCCATCACAGTTGACAACTCCATTGTGTCCTCCTCCCAGAGTGCAAGGAACCTTGGCATGACTCTGGACAACACCCTGTCATTCTCCGCTAACATCAAAGCGGTGACCCGATCCTGCAGGTTCATGGTCTACAACATTCGCAGAGTACGACCCTACCTTACCCAGAAAGCGGCACAGGTCCTAATCCAGGCACTTTTCATCTCCCGTCTGGATTACTGCAACTCGCTGTTGGCTGGGCTCCCTGCCTGTGCCATTAAACCCCTACAACTTATCCAGAACGCTGCAGCCCGTCTGGTGTTCAACCTTCCCAAGTTCTCTCATGTCACCCCGCTCCTCCGCACACTCCACTGGCTTCCAGTTGAAGCTCGCATCTGCTACAAAACCTTGGTGCTTGCCTACGGAGCTGTGAGGGGAATGGCACCTCCTTACCTTCAGCCTCTGATCAGACCCTACACCCAAACGAGGGCACTACGTTCATCCACCTCTGGCCTGCTAGCCCCCCTACCTCTACGGAAGGACAGTTCCCGCTCAGCCCAGTCAAAACTATTCGTTGCTCTGGCACCCCAATGGTGGAACAAGCTCACTCACGAGGCCAGGACAGCGGAGTCACTGACCACCTTCCGGAGACACTTGAAACCCGACCTCTTTAAGGAATACCTGGAATAGTATAAAAGTAATCCTTCTACCCCCCCCCCCCCCCTCCCCCTCCCCCTCATAAAAAATAAAATAAAATAAAGATGATTTATATTGGGTGGTTGTCCCACTAGCTATCATAAGTTGAATGCACCAATTTGTAAGTCGCTCTGGATAAGAGTGTCTGCTAAATGACTAAAATGTCAATGTAAATGTATAGCAACAATGTGACTATTACAGAGGCAGAGCAACAGCAGGCAAAGAAAAGTAAAATAAAAAATATATTTTTTAATCTTTTTGGGGGGAGGTTGGTTCCCAAATTGTCCCCATGTTGGGGAATAAGAGATTTTAAAGTCTAGGTTTGTAGTAAAATATGTCACCAATTACCATTCAGAAAAACATTGTCACATCTTTTACCTGATGGTGGCGCTCTAAACATGAGCAAATTCCAATAGGAACACAGCCATTTAAAAAAACTGTTGAAACCAGATGTGACTGGTTTGATCTGGTTTGGGTAGTACCTCACTGTGCGAAAATGGCTGAATGGATTTTAAAGCCAGACATCTTAAAATTACCCTAGGGATCAAGTTGTTTTTTAAATAACAGACAGACGGGCGAGGAAACGTCAAACTTTTTTCCCCATTCATTTTTGTCATTGGAAACGAGCGCGATGGATCAACGGCGCATATGGAGGATGCATTCGAGGTAATGTCATATTAAATGTGGATGAAAAATAAATGCATTGCATTACGATGACTACCAAGGTGTACCCTTTCCATACATACATTTTTGCACTTTTGGTGACTTGACCTAAATTGCATACTCTATGAATATGACCATAGCTCATGGGGGCATTCTTATGACATCGCCAGCAGTAAGATTTGAGCTTGATTTCCAAAAAGACAAGTGCTGTAGCTTTCGAATGATATGTCACTTTCTTAAGCTCCGCAGGCGCGGCACTGGGCCCTACAACGCTCAGAGTTTAACAGGTATGACTGTGTGTGTACATTCCATAGGCTCAAACAACTATCAGAGGAAGTGTACTGTACATTACTGTTATGTATGGTATGACGTGCTGTACGTCGTGCTGTACGTTATTATGGTTTACGACAGTGTTCTGCTTTACGTATGAATGGGTTGTCAGAATGAGTGGCACATGTCATAAAATGTCAGAGTGATGTACAATGTGAAACCGTGCAGATGTGCGTTCTTCTACAACTTAGCTATATATATAATTGGTGACTAAGATGGCTGAATTCAGCTTACCATCGCCAGCACCATTCCTCGACGTGCCTGGTGAACCTCCAGTCCCATGGAATAACTGCCTTGAAAGTTTTAACACTTATCTCGAAGCTATGGACTTTACTACAATCTCCGACAAGCGGAGCAGCACTGCTCCGTCACTGCCTCGGTACAGAGGGACAGAGGATTTTCAGAGCGCTTGGATCGACTCCTACATTCACCACTGCAGTCATCTTCCTATGGAACCACTTTGCCGAGAAAGAGCAAGTGCTCCTCCGACGCTACGGAAAAGACGCCAACGGCGCTAATCTGAGGGATTTGGCTAGCACTTGTAACTACAGGATACTTCAGGACGAGATCATCAGGGATCAGCTGATAGAGGGGACGTTATGTGAAAAGACAAGGGAGAAACTGCTTTTGGAATCGGATCATTTACAACTTGATGGAGCTATTAAAATAGCACTCCAGGTTGAAGCGGCTTTGGAATGCTCTACTATGAAAACAGGCAACTCTGCAGCATACACTCGGCCACCAGCCATTCTCACACAGCAGCTTCAGCCCGAGCAGGCGCACTACAGCGATCACGCGCTGTGCACGCCCTCCCACATTGATAGCTGCATGGACACCGGCATGCCCGTGCAGCAGGCACACAGACAAACAAACAGAAGTAGCTCTGGCAACCGTGGGGCTAGCTCTCACAATTCAAGGGCTTCAAACTGCCCAGCCCATGGAAAGATATGCAAGAACTGTTCAAAATACAATCACTTTGCAAAAGTGTGTCGTTCTGCCCCAGCTACTAGATCCACTCAGAACAGACCCTTATTTTCATCTCACTCTCAACATGAACACACTGAAATCCGAACCGTCTCCACCAATCATGTGTCATTCAAGACATGCACTGTGCAGCTGGGCGAGGTGGGTTTGCCTTTGCTAGTGGATACTGGCGCTGTGGTGTCGTTGCTCAACCTTGCCACTTACTACAAGTTTTTCAGTCACCTACCACTCCAACAGCCCTCCACTGCCCTGTGTCGGTTACGGTAGCGCCAAAATAGACATTGCAGGCACCCTCCAGGTCCCAGTGCACTACGGCGCCAGGGATCTAACATCATTCACATTTCACGTTGCAAAGCGGGGTGCCAACCTCCTGGGTCTCAACCTCTTCACAGGCTTGGGGTTCACACTGAGAGATGACAGTGGGTCAGCTATCCACCAGGGTACCTGCACATGGCAAAATAACTGGCCAGCTCTGTTTGATGGGCTGCCTCACAGCCTTTATTCACAGGCTCCTTGTGAACCCGGACGTGACCCCAGTCATGCAGCCCCTGCGGCGCATTCCCTTTGCACTGTGTGATGACGTCACAAAAGATCTCCAGTCACAGTTGGAGGCAGACATCATTGAGCCAGTCAACGCTGCCCCCTGGATTTCAAACTTGGTCATTGCAACCAAAAAGTCAGTTGGAATCCGGACCTGTGTGGATCTCCGTGCTGTGAACAAGGCTGTTGTCCCGGGTAAGTAACCCTTGCCTACAGCTGAGGAGCTGACCACACAATTTCATGACTCCAGGGTTCTCACAAAGCTCCACCTGCGTCAGGGTTATCTTCAGGTGCCCCTCCACCCAGCCAGCAGAGACCTCACGGCCTTCGTCACACACGCTGGCGTGTTCAGATACACACGCATGCCTTTTGGACTTAGCTCCGCCCCCAGCTGCTTCCAGAAGGTGATGAGAACCAGACCGTCGACTCCACAGAGTATTCAATGCCCTACTGCGGAACAACCTGACCCTGAACGGCGAAAAGTGCACCTTTGCAGCTCCAGCCGTCGAGTTTGTGGGGTTCCGCCTGTCGGCCAAAGGCATTGCCCCACTCCTGTCGAACATTGAAGCCGTCCACCGCATCCCGGAACCTACCTCAGCCTCTCAGGTGGCCTCATTCTTGGCCATGACAGCCTACTACCTCCGGTTTCTGCCCCACTACTCTCAGACCACAGCGCCCCTTCGCCAGCTCCTCAAGAAGGATGAGCCATGGGCCTGGACTGCGGCCTACTCAGACACGGTCCGCTCACTGAAGAGCCAGCTCACCACAGCCCCAGTCTTGGCTCACTTTGACCCCATCTGCCACACCATTGTCACCTGTGACGCCTCAGCTGGAGCACTAGGAGCTGTCCTCTCACAGCTGCAGAATGGCATTGAGAGGCCCGTCGCCTTTGCCATTTCGACAAGGCACAAGAAGCTGATCATCCAAGTGTCATACTGGGTCCGAGCCTGACCGCCTCAGCGGTGCAACAAAATGGCCTCATTCTGGTCGGACCCCTTGCAGGTCAGTCTACAACTGGGGCCCACCATCTTCATGCTGAGCAATGGATCTCCCTAGCACGCCAGCCGCCTCAGAAAAGTCCCTGCCCCTCAAGGAATACAAATGCCCACAAAACGGACATACAGGCCAGTGACACCACCTGATGGACCTCCTATACTACTACCACCCGAGCGCCAGCCTCTGTGGGCTCCCCAAGGGCCAGAGCCACAAGCGGTCGTGGTTGAAGAACGGCCTATGTGGGCACGAACTTGCCTTGCTCATCTGGAGGACTACTTAATCTCCTTTCAGTCTTAGGCTCCGTTAGGTGTCTTAGCCAACCTCCAGGTTAATGGACTGAACTGGCTAGTTTGGAGAGTCGTTGTTTATCTCTTTCGTTTAAGGGTTAATGTTTATTTCTTACAGGTATCACTCTAGGTTCTTGCCCTATGGACATTTTTATATATGGTACCAGTCCCTGGTTTTGGAAAGGGGGGGGGGGCGTGTTATGTATGGTACGTCGTACTGTACATTGTTATGGTTTAAGACAGTGTGCGGCTTTACGTATGAATGGGTTGTCAGAATGAGTAGCACGTCATAAAACGTCAGAGTGATGCACAATGTGAAACCGTGCAGATGTGCGTTCTTCTACAGCTAAGCTAGATATAACAATTACTAAATGGAAAGTAACAGATTATTAGACCCTTTTGGATGTTCTGTTTTAAAAGCTATATGGGAAATGTCCCTATGTGGCCTAAGTAGCCTAGAAGGTTACTAGGGCCTAAAGTAGACTCTAGGGCCTAAAGTAGACTCTAGGGCCTAAAGTAGTATATAGGGCCTAAAGTAGACTAGGTCCTAAAGTAGACTATAGGGCCTAAAGTAGACTCTAGGGCCTAAAGTAGACTCTAGGGCCTAAAGTAGACTAGGGCCTAAAGTAGACTCTAGGGCCTAAAGTAGACTCTAGGGCCTAAAGTAGACTCTAGGGCCTAAAGTAGACTCTAGGGCCTAAAGTAGACTAGGGGGGCCTAAAGCAGACTCTTATTTGCGTCTCTCATCACAGTCACAAAGTACCAAAACAAATGGTAACTGTCATCTCCCTCATCGCTCATTGTCCCTTATCGCTCATTTTCCCTTAAATGTTCTTGTTGAAACAGCAACTTTGTTCCAGTGTTTTGATTGTCCTTGTAGTATACTATTCTAGTTAGTGTTCACATTCAAGCATGCACATGCAAGTGGTTTGTGTTGCTTACATTGATCTGTGTGTTGGATACATTCTGGATGCTCTCGAAGGTGTATTTCTCTGAGCGCCTCTTGCGCTTTTCAAAGAGGAGGGAGCCCCTGTTGGACACCAGAGACAGCTCCTCCAGCATCACATCCTTAGGGACACTCATCTTCTTCCCCAGGTCCATCTCTGCATCTGGAAAAGACACAACAGCTCTGAGAAAGTGGGTTTCTGGTGTGTGTGTGTGTGTGTGTGTGTGTGTGTGTGTGTGTGTGTGTGTGTGTGTTTGTGTGTATTGTGTCATATTGTACCTCACCTGTATATGCCCTTATGTGTAGTTGTGGGTTTATTTGCGTTTGGCTGAGCTAGCGTCCCATCCTCCCTTACTTTTAAATTACCCTATTATGCATATTCTGTCAAAGTAGTTTTTAATTATACTGACAATATGCACATTTGGCTAATTACATTCTACTGAATACCTTTCACTGTAAAACACATTTTATACATTCCCAAAACCCTTCTCGCTGACTTAGTATACACTGAGTATACAAAACATTAGGAACACCTGCTCTTTCCATGACATTGACCAGGTGAATCCAGGTAAAAGCTATGATCCCTTATTGATGTCACTTGTTAAATCCACTTCAATCAGTGTAGATGAAGGGGAGGGAACAGGTTAAAGAAGGATTTTTAAGTATTGAGACAATTGAGACATGGATCGTGTATGTGTGCCATTCAGAGGGTGAATGGGCAAGACAAAAGATTTAAGTGCTTTAGAACGGGATATGGTAGTAGGTGCCAGGCACCGGTTTGTGTCAAGAACTGCAACGCTGCTGGGTTTTTCACACTCAACAGTTTCCTGTGTGTATCAAGAATGGTCCTCCACCCAAAGGACATCCAGCCAACTTGACACAACTGTGGGAAGTATTGGAGTCAACATGGGCCAGCATCCCAGTGGAACGCTTTCGACACCTTGTAGAGTCCATACCCCGACGAATTGAGGTGTTCCTAATGTTTGGTATACTCAGTGTATATTGTCAATATGAGTAATGATGAATCATTTTCTCATGTCAGCCAGCCTCTCATGTTGGCCAGCCAGCCTCTCATGTTGGCCAGCCAGCCTCTCATGTTGGCCCCCTTGTTTGCGTTTAATACCTAATGCATGCTGATCATGGAGGTGTCATAGGCCTATCAAATCAGCCAAAAGTAAGCTAGCCTGCCAGAATATGCCTCAGCTGTCAGTGACGCTCAGGCCCTCCCTCCCTACCCCGACGAGCCATGCAGTTGTCCCCTCCCAGAAATAGCTCATTCAAAGGACAACGACAAAGGGATTAGTTACTTTGAGCAATGAAACGTCTTATTTATATACAGGGCTGTAGATGGTGGCGAACTGGATGATACCCCGCTACAAAGTGAGAGTGTTAAGTGTGTGTGTCAGAGGAGGCTGGTGGGGGGAGGAGCTATAGGAGGATGGGCTCATTGTAATGGCCGGAATGGAATTAATGGATCGGTAACAAACATGTGGTTTCCATATGTTTGATGTGTTTGATACCATTCCATTTATTATATTCCAGCCTCCTCTGATGTGTGTGTGTGTGTGTGTGTAGTACGCGTTTATGTTTGTTCACAGGTACGCACGTGAGTGTATTTATGTCTGTGCAGTATGTACTGTATGACTGCAGTTGCATTTATTCAGAGAGAGAGAGTACCTTCAGGACCCTGTATCTCCCTACAGATGGCTGCTGCTTGCAGTTTCCTCTCGTTGGTTGTCATGGTAGAGAACTGCGACATTGCTGCCCCTGGGGAAACACAATATCACAAGGGACAGCATGTGACTGCACACCTTGTTCAAAGGCAGCTAGCTTAACAACACCCCAAAGGAGGCAACACTGCGCAGCATGCTATTGATCGCTAACATTACACTCCCCCAGCCACGCACAAACACCCGCCGGAGCCGGTTGAATTTATTGGAGGCGCTAAAAGGGCAAAGTTAGCACATCCCTTTAAATAACCTTGGGCAGTTAAACGCTGAGCACATACTCGTCAGACATGGCAGGAGCGAACCACAGTGGAGCAAGAATCCATACGCTTGGAATTACCCATGACTGTCGAAAAAGGACAGGGGTACGGGGCGACAGGGCACATCAAGCAGATGTGACAGTTGAGAAGATGGGGCAAGCTACAGTCCACAGCAAAATACACATTTTGCCCAAGTCAAGCTATAGCATACTGCAATTTCCCAACTCCGGTCCTCGAGTACCCCAAACAGTACATATTTCTGTTTTGGCCTCAGACAAGCACACCTGATTCTACTTGTCAACTAATCATCAAGCCATTGACAAGTTGAATCAGTCGTTTTTCTCTGGGGCTACAACAGAAATTTGTGCTGTTGGAGGTACTGGAGGACCGGAGTTGGGAAACACTGTATGCACCATCTTGTTTTCATTCAAATCTGAATGAATATATGTACTTGTATGTACAGTATTCCATGAATAGGTACTCATAAGTAAAGTAAAACAAAGGTAACACAACAGTGTAACATATAGAGAAATTAAACTGGTCTTGTCCACTAATTTGGCCTCAGAGCCATTCATAGCTATCTGACCATCTGACCATTAGATTAAAGCATGCTCACATGTTCGTTCATAGCTCTAGCGTCAGCTCCAACAAGTTAATCCACTTCCAAATAACTTCTCAATGTTCATTCATACGCTGTTGTAAATGTAAAAATGTTGAGGGAATAGCACCAGCAAACGATGTATGGAGAACTAAGAAATAATGTGAAATTGCTGCACATTGTCATGCATAATGAAATTAATCAACATATAGTAAGTCATTCCAGCCTGGTCTCATAGACTAGACGTAACATAGTAAATGTAAATCCACACCACAAAATTAGTATGATATGACAAGTTTCGTATGGTTACTTAAGACAGAAGGTTACTTAAGGCTAAAATGAAAGGAGGGTGGTTGGTCGGGCGTATAACACAAATGTTGTTCAAATCTCATCACGGACAACTTTAATTAGCTACTTTGCAACTACAGTACTTAGGTTAAAGGGTTAGCTAACCCCTTACCTTAACCCCTAGCCTAGCTAATGTTAGCCACCTAGCTAATGTTAGAGTTGGCCACCTAACTAATTGGAATTCATAACATATTATACAAATTGCAATTGGGAACATATCATACGAATTGTAATTTGTAACATATCATATGAAATGGATGATTGACATCCACAAATTAATATATATGTAACATATACTAAATGGTGGGAGACAGATTTACTTTACTATGTTACGTCTACCCCTGAGTCCAGGATGGTAATTCACATAATGCCAAGCTCCATTACATTTTAGGGGGATCAGATGGACCTTACACCAAGTGTCACATATTAACGAGACATTGGGATGCAAAGAACATGTTAGATTTACAATAATGCAGAGGGCAGCTCTGTCGCACCGGACTATTGAGTGTCCCCAACAAGCTTGACTTGAAACATCAATGTCAACCTGTACAATCACACAGCAAAACATATAGGCACAACACCTAGGAAGTGGCCCTATGTTTATGACACCTTACCTGTGTGTATGTCCCTTTGGGGTTGTGTCAAGATATGCCTGTATCCTTACGGAAGCTAGGAAGGCGTAGGGCGAGGAGGTCAGACTGGGTAGTGCGACCTGCACGGGTCCTTTGCGCTCCCCAGCTCTGAAGCTGTTGCGGGGGTAGGTGGGAAGGAGGGGGAGGGGATGGGGATGGGGGGGTCGGTGGCTGGCTGGGATGGGTGAGTGACTGGGTGGGTGTCAGTGTGTGTCTGTTGTCATTGGTATGTGGTTTGGCCAGCGTGGGAGGTGGCTAAATATAGCAGGCCTTGGCTACCACTTCGCTTCCCGCTCTCTCATGGCCCGGTGTCTGTTCAGTAGCTTAGGCGGAGGTCACTACCAGACTAGCTCAGTCTTAGCCACTACTTCCCCCCCACCCCTTTTTGATGCCATACTCCCCCCCCCCCCCCCACTCCCTGTCTGACAAGCAAGGACCTGTGGGAATGCGTGTTACGATTGGGTTGTAAATCCCCCTCCCCCCCAGTTGAACCTAGTTTCCAAACCCTTATATTACTGATCCTTCTCCCATGTATTTGTAGTGTAGATCTCAATGGTCTACCCAGGGAGCTGAAACGATTTGATATGTATGAGCTCTACCTAAGCCGCTAAAAGGAGCTGTTTTGGTTTGGGCCCTAGGTGGCAGGAGAGGTCATTGAGAGGAGTTTTATATTTCCGGTGCACCAAATGCATCAATGACTATGGGACTACCAATACGCTATGAAAATTAAAAATAAATACATTAAATTATGCCTTATGAGCTTAGAACCCGAAATATAAGTTTGTTTTACTCCAATGTTTGTAAACATTGTAAATGTAACCAAACACTGTTTAGCCTCAACATGCTTATAACTATTATTTAAATATATTGGATGGTCAGTCCATGCATTCATGGCTCTGTCTTAAATTTCTCCAGAACCATCACTCAGCGTTTTACCAAAACAGAAGTGGGGTTACCGTTTTCCAATTAAATAACCAAGTTGTTACAAATTTGATGATATACTTGTTCAAACGATTAGGAGACATGATGTGGAAGTAAAACTAAAGGGACAGTTACTTTCACAGGGTATTACAACTGCCCAAAAATTCAGGATGTTGAAACCCTAGACCCACTCCAATTTGCATACCGCCCCAACAGATCCACAGATGATGCAATCTCTATTGCACTCCACACTGCCCTTTCCCACCTGGACAAGAGGAACACCTACGTTTTACATTTTAGTCATTTAGCAGACGCTCTTATCCAGAGCGACTTACAGTTAGTGAATACATCTTTTTATTTATTTTTTTATTTTTTTTATTTTTTTTATACTGCCCCCCCGTGGGAATCGAACCCACAACCCTGGCGTTGCAAACGCCATGCTCTATCAACTGAGCCACATCCCTGCCGGCCATTCCCTCCCCTACCCTGGACGACGCTGGGCCAATTGTGCGCCGCCCATGAGTCTCCCGGTCACGGCCGGCTGCGACAGAGCCTGGATTCGAACCAGGATCTCTAGTGGCACAGTTAGCACTGCGATGCAGTGCCTTAGACCACTGCGCCACTCAGGAGTTACGTGAGAATGCTATTCATTGACTACAGCTCAGCATTCAACACCATAGTGCCCTCAAAGCTCATCACTAAGCTAAGGATCCTGTGACTAAACACCTCCCTCTGCAACTGGATCCTGGACTTCCTGATGGGCCGCCCCCAGGTGGTAAGGGTAGGTAACAACACATCTGCCACACTGATCCTCAACACGGGGGCCCCTCAGGGGTGCGTGCTCAGTCCCCTCCTGTACTCCCTGTTCACCCATGACTGCATGGCCAGGCACGACTCCAACACCATCATTAAGTTTGCCGACGACACAACAGTGGTAGGCCTGATCACGACAACGATGAGACAGCCTATAGGGAGGAGGTCAGAGACCTGGCCATGTGGTGCAAGGATAACAACCTCTCCCTCAACGTAACCAAGACAAAGGAGATGATTGTGGACTACAGGGAAAAAAAGAGGACTGAGCACGCCCCCATTCTCATCGACGGGGCTGTAGTGGAACAGGTTGAGAGCTTCAAGTTCCTTGGTGTCCACATCACCAACAAACTATCATGTTCCAAACACACCAAGACAGTCGTGAAGAGGGCACGACAAAGCCTATTCCCCATCAGGAGACTGAAAAGATTTGGCATGGGTCCTCAGATCCTAAAAAAATTCTACAGCTGCACCATCGAGAGCACCCTGACTGGTTGCATCACCGCCTGGTATGGCAACTGCTTGGCCTCCGACCGCAAGGCACTACAGAGGGTAGTGCGTACGGCCCAGTACATCACTGGGGCCAAGCTTCCTGCCATCCAGGACCTCTATACCAGGCAATGTCAGAGGAAGGCCCTCAAAATTGTCAAAGACTCCAGCCACCCTAGTCATAGACTGTTCTCTCTGCTACCGCACGGCAAGCGGTACCGGAGTGCCAAGTCTAGGTCCAAAAGACTTCTCAACAGCTTGTACCACCAAGCCATAAGACTCCTGAACAGCTAATCATGGCTACCCGGACTATTTGCACTGACCCCCCACCCCCATCCCCACCCCATCTTTTTACGCTGCTGCTACTCTGTTAATTATTTATGCATAGTCACTTTAACTCTACCCACATGTACATATTACTTCAACTACCTCAACTAGCTGGTGCCCCTGCACATTGACTCTGCACCGGTACTCCCCTGTATATATAGCCTCCCTGTTATTTTATTTTACTTCTGCTCTTTTTTTTCTCAACACTTTTTTGTTGTTGTTTTATTTTACTTTTTTATAAAAAATAAATGCACTGTCTGTTAAGGGCTGTAAGTAAGCATTTCACTGTAATGTCTGCACCTGTTGTATTTGGTGCATGTGGCCAATAAAATTTGATTTGATAATTACATTTACATTTACATTTTAGTCATTTAGCAGACGCTCTTATCCAGAGCGACTTACAGTTAGATTAGGGCCTAATGAATTTATTTAATTTACTGATTTCCTTATATGAACAATAACTCAGTAAAATCTTTGAAATTGTTGCATGTTGCGTTTATATTTTTGTTCAGTATAATTGACAGCTTGAAAATTAGGAAGCATGTACAGAATACAAATATTCCAAAACATGCATCCTGTTTGGCACTAAAGTAAACTGCAAAGCAATTAACTTTTGGTCCTGAATACGAAGTGTTATGTTTGGGGCAAATACAATACAACACATTACTGAGTACAACTCTCCATATGTTCAAGCATAGTGGTGGTTGCATCATGTTATGGGTATGCTTGTAATCGGTAAGGACTGGTGAGTTTTTCAGGATAAAAAAGAAACGGAATGGAGCTAAGCAAAGGCAAAATCCTAGAGGAAAACATGGTTCAGTCTGCTTTCCACCAGACACTGGGAGATGAATTCACCTTTCAGCAGGACAATAACCTAAAACTCAAGGCCAAATCTACACTGGCGTTGTTTACCAAGAAGACAGTGAATGTTCCTGAGTGGCCGAGTTACAGTTTTGACTTAAATCTGCTTGAAAATCTATGGCAAGACCTGAAAATTGTTGTCTAGCAATGATCAACAACCAATTTGACAGAGCTTGAAGAATTTTGAAAATAATAATGGGCAAATGTTGCATAATCCAGGTGTGGAAAGCTCTTAGAGACTTACCCAGAAAGACTCACAGCTGTAATCACTGCCAAAGGTGCTTTTACAATGTATTGACTCAGGGGTGTGAATACATACAGTATGTAAATTAAATATTTCAATCCAATCAATTTGAGAATTTCTAAAAACATGTTTTCACTTTGTAGTTATGGGGTATTGTGTGTAGATTGAGATTATTATTATTTTTTAAACCATTTTGAATTCAAGCTGTAAAACAACAAAATGTGGAATAAGTCAAGGGGTATGGATACTTTCTGAAGGCACTGTAGCTGCGTTTAGGCATGTCTTCCTTGTTTTGAGTCTGTTAAGTGTGTTTCTCATTCTGCTGGAGTTGACCTAGTATTTTATATTAAACCTACCTTACACATCCAGTTATTTCTCCATTTGTAACTCACTCACCAAAAATCACAATATGCTGTTTTACATTTTGTGTTATTTATGCTGGTCTAATTCCTAAAATGGAAAAGCGGAAGAATCTGTGGGCTCTTGGATAGTAATAATAGTTAATAGGGTGCTCTTCAATATCCCAGGTTTGTGGCATTGATGAATAAAAAATCAAATCTATACTTAAAGTCTGATGTTTATATGTTATGTATGAAAGGCATATGTATGCATTGTTTACTATTTTGATTTCTTTGAAACAATGTAATTGTTGGAGTTCAGGTGTTTGACGTGATTGATGGGTGACTAGGTGCATTCTTGTCAAATAGATATGCTTATTCATTCATGATTATGGATACATTCTGCAATGAGTTAATCTGGCTTTGAATCTGCAACAAAACATGTCAACAATTTAGTTCTGAATTGATTTAATACAGCAGTGCATTCGGACACCATTAATTGAAATAGATGTAATCTTGTTCATATAGTTGGCAGAAATGTTAAGGGATTAAATATCGGCTGAAGGAGAAGAGGAACTGGTCAAATTAGGGTATGTTGCTAATATCATCTAGGTAGATAGCTAGCTTCTTTGCAAAAAAACTTGCCTAGTATTCATGGCACATTGTAAATATCTGACTGCTACTAGGATAGTATTCGGTACAAGACACAAGACCCAATGCATAAATAAGCCAACAAATATTAGTTAAATAAAATATGGAACAGTAAATGAAAATGTTCAATATATATTTAGCTTTGGATCAAAGTAGCTAGTAGCTAGCTAGCTGACAGCAAAGGTGTCAGCTAGAGATGACGTGCAGGAGCTTGCACGGATTTGTAGTCGTGCATGTCTACTTTGTTGCTAATTAGTATTTTCGAATCAGAGAGTAAATAGAGCCGAATATATTGATAAAAGTCATCGTGTCCGAGAGATTTACACGGTTATTAAAACGTCACGCCAGGGAAAGCTTACATGAAACACAGACCTTGTTTGAAGTGGTTCTAAAATCCCCTATGGGAATAATGAAGGGTTATTGGAACCATTTCCGTGTTTGACCGCTAGGTTTTATGGGTATTATGACTCATCCACTGTGGGGCTCTATGGATATAGAGCG